AACGCCACGAAGAATATGGGGAGGTGCACCATCCTGCATAAATATTGTGTCCTGGAGGCAGCCACGTTGTTGCAGTTCAGGGATCACAAACGTTGTCAACATGTCCTGATACCATTTTCCTGTGACAGAGCAGGTTTTGAAACCTGTTGGAGTCACCTCTTCAAACAAATAAGGCCCAATGACGAATGTTGCAGTGAAACCGCACCATACAGTAACCTTTGGAGGGTTCAAGGGCACTTGATGGATTGCGCGCGTGATTTCACTTGCCCAAATGCGGCAGTTGTGCGTATTCACTTGACCATTCAGGTGAAAATGGGCCTCATCCGTCCAAAGGATGTTTCATGGCCAAGCAGCATCGACTTCCATTCTGGCAAGGAACTGCAACGCAAATGCTTCCCGAACTACAGGATCCCCGTTGGACAGCTGATGATGACTACGGATTTTATAAGGAAAATAACCAAGGATTCGACGCATCACACGCCAGACAGTCGTATAGGGCATATCAACAGCACAAGAAACAGTTGGCACACTGACAACACCATGTGGCGATTGGCTAGTGGGGTCCACGGCCGCCAAAGCAATGTCTTCTACGCGTGCAGATTCCACAACCTGTCGTCCTCTACCTGGTAAAATTCCCAGCTGTTCTGTTTCATCATGTCTAGTAGAGCGCGTGGTGTTAAAGCACATAGAGGCATAGTCATAAGGGCATAAAATACGGGAGACCCGTTCACACCTGCGAAAACGAGGTGTAAGCCATGGCCAATGAGAGAAGCTAAATTTGCGCATGCGTGGAATGTCTACAACTTTCCCGCGTTCGCTCTGCTTGTTTTTTTCGTTGTGTCATGGCTTTTTCAGCTCGCCACAAAGTTTTACCGGCCCTTCTCATTAGCCAAGAGGCAACGGAAGAAGGTAAAAGAAAAATAACAAAATGGTCTAGAGATATTTTTTTGAAAGACCAATACTTGGTTGGCACATATCTTTCTGTACAAAGCATGCACATGCCTATTTATATACTACATAAAACCTTCTTCAATTTTTATATATAATTTCTCTTAGGAGAAATACGATATTCTAAATATGCCTAATTTAAAAAAAAATCTTGAGGATAACTAACAGATAGCCTGTATATAATATTTTTCTATTTTGCAGGTGTGAAAGCAGTTAAGCTAAAAACAGTACTTACCATACATTATTATTATTATTTTATATTTTCAATCAAAAGGAACATGTTTCTGTGACAGTGAAACATGTGTGCTTAGCACTCCTTATTCACTGTCCCTGTCGATCACTATAGTAGTTTGCTGCACTACCAGTATCAATTATCACTAGTACTAGTATCCCACAACTGGTCACAATGACCAGCAAACACAACTAGTACAATACTAGGAAACGTTCACCCAACAATGTATTTTATGCTCAATCATTAAATACATTTTGCTGTCTTGCCAGCTGTTTGTATACATCTATTTTAATAATTTGCATGTATAAGCCGCACCCCTGAATTTAATTTCAACATATGCTGTCATTTCTATTTACGACCAAATCTCAAAAGTAATTTCACATTGACAAATTTTAGGTACCCAAGTCTTCAAATACATCAAAATTATAAACATTCATACCTTATCCAGGAATTTCTACCAGAGAAATAGCATGAATTTAATGATCAAAACTCCATTCAAATGATAGTAATAAAGAGTGGATAATAATAACAAATACTATTCATTAAATTATAGTCCATGTTATGAATTATGTGTGCTATTTAGTTTCATTAAAAGTAAATTCCTTTCATGGAGAACGTAATTAAAAAACAGAACAGACAAAACTGGACTTCAACAGGAGACAAAACTGTCTAGACTGTTGACTGCTGTTTTAAGGATATTTCACTACATTTTTTCTTTCTTGGAATTCATAAGAGCATTTTTCTCAAAAGATTAATCTTTTATTACTTATACAAAGCTTACACCATTGAATTGACTATTGTGACTATTCTTAAATAAGTGAAAATAATTTTTTTTTAAAGTAATATTTTTACTGTTAAAAAAAAACAGCAGATTCTTGATATTGATTTGATGTTTTAGTAAAATTAATTCATGAAGTTTGTTTGGAAAGAAAATCAGCATTTGAAGCAAATACCAATACAATATTTCCAGCTTTTTTAATAAATTTATTCTTAAATACAAAAATAATTAAAAAGGAAAAAAATTACAGTAACAATTTTAAAAAATTATAGACAGAAAGAAAGTAATAATAATAATTTACACAGAAAAAATAAAATTTTTGCAAGCATGCTTTTTTTAAAGAATTTTCATAATAAAATGAAAAATATTGGAAGGGATCAATCATCTACAGGATCATACACAGCGTGCATAATCCTGAGCTTAACTTTCGCTTTACGAGTTTCATCCATATTTTTCAATATAAATTGAAAAACTCATTAAAAAATGCATGTCATCATCGTAGATTTCTTGCGAGATCAACTCTTTATTTCGTTCGGATATGATTACAACTCATTATTTTGTTCGGATACGATTACAACTCATTCGGATACGATGTGTTCCATATTAAAAAAAACGTCGCCTTCGATGTGACAGCGAAATCGTCTAAAGAAAGCCGCTTCGTTTTAGCTTCGCTCTGATTGGTCGACGCTTATCCCAAACTCGCCGTAAAGTTGAAACCTTGTGCCACGAGCCCTAAACCAGATTCTGTGACGTAGCAGTGACTGGTTGCCTTGGCAACGGAGCTCGGCTTTAACCACTTATGTCCTTTACGCCCTCGTCTGAACGGGGACTCATTGGTCCTCGGCGTAAGATATTCAGCCGATGGAATGCTCTTATCGCAGCACAGGAGTTCTCGTCATTCTGGTAGAAAAGTTTCACTAACAGAGCTTTGTCTTTCAAAGTCGCCATTGTGCATCAGCGAGTTGGAAACAACTGCCTGGGCAAGGCCTGTCTTCCACTTTTTTAGGGCTCGTCTTTTGGATACGTTGTGCAGAAGCTTTATTTCTGCAAATCACGTTGCTGCAATATGCACATTACTAGTGTTACAGTGCCACCTGTCGGCAACTTCTTGTACTAATTCTTTTTTTTTTGTGTGTGTAATAAATCTCGAGTGCATGATCTGAAGTGCCTGTTTTTAAAATTTCATCACATTATGACCCATACAACACTCTGCACAGGCCACTGAGTTGGGGAAGTTTAATTTGGATAACCCTGTATAATGCCTGCTCATGTGATAATATTAAAAGCATTTTTGATATTTTCCATACTTGTGTCTAGTGAAAAGCAGAGAAAATAGAGGGAAAATAAACATGTTAAAATTCTAGTATCAGAAATTAAACATTCAAATATTATGTTTTCATTGTTCTTCCATATGTTCCTCAAAAAGTAAGAAATTCATTGCAAACTTTCTGTAAAATACATCCATTACATATTGATACCATGGGCATATTTTTAATTTTGTCACACAGTTCTCGAATCTTCTAGAATCGTGGCTCTATAAATCTTGCCATCAAATCCTTCTACACTTTCCAAGCTGCAGTGCCTAAAATACTACAGAAAAATTATCCCTACCAATTCTGTAACAGCAAAAATCCAGAAATATTTTGGGGGAAAAAAAAAGGAGGGTAAAAGTGTAAAATTAATTTTATAGAGAAAACTGATGCATATTCTGAGAATTTTGAATATTCTGAGACAATTACATGAGAAAAACTCTTACTATGAAAAAATTAAAATGAAAACATTTTTAATTAATTACATAGCTAATTTTGCTTTTGCTAAGAGCTGTTTCGTAAACTGTGCTTTATAGAATTATACCTTTTTTATTTTTTAGATTCAAAATATTGCACAAGTTGTCAAAATGAAACTTTATAATATGAAAGCAAAAAATAAAAATGCTTTATTTTAGTGTTATTTTTTAAATATAATTTCAATATATTATTATTATTTTAATGAAATTTATCAATGTTACAATGTTTTAAAAAAAATTGTCGAAAAATTCTCAGATCTCGGAATTAAAAATTTTCTATAGGAACTGATCTTAAAATCACCAAATTTAGAACCATTTAATAAAAGAATTTACATCTCCAAAAGCAAAAAGTTGTTTAGAGCTCTTTATTATAAGAAATTATTATTAGAAAAAATGAATTTCGAAATGCTTCTTGCTTAGAAACTCGAGTATCCCATCATTTATATTAGAAATAGAAACAAATTATAACCCATGAACCCATCCAAAAGATAACCATATACGGCAGTGAATTGCCAAAAATATTCCTCCAAAATGATAATTCATACTCAAAATGGCAGTTGTTAAAACAAACAGAAATTTCAGATGATTAAAATTAAGGACCTTCTGCTGATTTTGGCCAAAATTAAGGACTTTTAAGGACCAAAAATTGATTTAAAAAAATTTAAGGACCGTACAAACCCTGTTATAGTGTCACTTTACATTTGCTTCTCACTGATCCATATTAGAAGCAGTCTCGCAACATTCTCGAGAATATGTGGTTGTGTGTAGAAAATGTGACACCCTTCGAAGCATCTATCTCCTTAATATTATCCTTGTTTTTGATGATAATGCAAAGTGCTGTTGTAGACTAATTATATGGTGTGTCATATGTCAGCCATGCTCACACTTGCTTCTGAATGCTTAGATATAGCGGCATTTTCTTTGGATGTGTAAGCATACTTAAACTTTGTACTTAAAAAAATCATGCACCTGAATACGGATACTAGATAAACCAGTGTTAAACACAGGCTGATAGCCAAGATACAAGTATGATGCTGTGTGTGACATCACGATGTCCACGTAATTTGTTCTGAAAAACATCACTCATAAAGGAAGGTTTCCCCCCCCCCCCTCACTGCGTAAATCACTTGTTATGGGAGGTACTCATCAAGCAAGGTTTGACTTTACCAGTTTTTTTAAGGGCAAGGGAATATAATGAGAATAAAATGTACATGAATGATCTGAATCTTTTCACAACATTTAACAAAATCTTTTAAACAAAAGAACTTATTTATTTACATACTTTAAATATAGATAACAATTTAAAATGTATCTTAAAATATACAGATATTTATACAAATTATAAAAATTTTATGTACATAAGTAACATACATCTTTGTTACACGTTTGCTTGTATATGTGACTCACATATTAAAAATATATGTTACACCAATACTTATGAAAATAATAAATAACAAAGGAGTGAAAGGGGTTTAAATAAAATACAGACATAAAACACACATTTAATAATGACTTTACATTATGAAAAATACAAAAGCTGGCTATTCTATAAATTCAAGTGGAAGCAAATGATTAAATGCATCTATGAATCACTTTATTTCAAAAGTTATTCAAGAAATGTGATTATGTGCTTCATGTCTTTAAATATAACACTTAAACCAATATTTTCAGGCACAAAATATCTTTAAGCAAATTATTCATTATGCTTTAATTTCTTAAAAGGTTATGTAATTCTATGTGCAATGTGCAAACTTTGACAAGATACATTTGATAACAATTTCCATCAATAATTACAAACTGGCTTTAATTTTACAGCACTGTGAAAGCATTATTAACTTAAATATAATGAACATTTAGGAATTTTTACCATAACACGCAAAAATGCAATTTTTTATTTTTAAAGAAATGTATATATATATCCATATATATCCACACACACACATGCATACACAGGAAAATAAACATAAGGATGCATATACACACACAGGAAAGGTTTTGAATAATACACCTCTAGTTAATATTTATTTTTAATAGCTTATGAACATTTCTGAAATTCAAAAATATATCTATTAATGAGTTCCTCAGAAGCTAGAAGAAAAGTTCTACAGTATACTTTTTTAATTATGTATAACACAAAAATATATAACTAATAATGTTATTTCTAGAAAATTATTTTTAGCAATCAATGATAGCATTCAAATATAAGGCACATTGTGAAAGCAATAAAATGATGTTACAACCATTGCAATAAACAATGATATATATATTTATTTAATGTTGTATCATAAACATATTATTATATAAAGTTCAAAATGAAAAATTATAACAATTTTTTTGGGGGGACTAGATAAGTTTTATGCAATTAATTTTCATGGAGACGAAGTCAGTTATTATATTTGACAAACACTTTTCATAATACATTACTTCGTCTAAAATATATCTTTTCCACTTTGTTTTTATGCAACAAACAAACAAAAAAAGGGGGGGGGCAACTCCATATAATTCTTTTCAGTTGTAAAATAAGTAGTGACAAAATTTGCTCAGGAAATGTTTTTGGTAATTATAATTTCAGTTAAATTTTCTGCAATAAATAAAAAACTCTATTCTGAAATAAAAATAGTTTCCAACTTTGCAAACTACAGAGTTGTCTAAGTCATGTACACTTTACCAGGTTTTACATACTTTATTAAAAAGAAGCTTTCTGCAATATATTTAAAATTAACATATTAAAATGAAAGTAAACTCTACCAAGCTAGTTTCTAGCCTACATGTATAACATGCGTAATTTTAAAAAGATGAGAAAATTGTGAAATTAATGATACATTGTGAAATTAATGTTTACCTTTACGGACAATCTATAATTCAAATAACAGTTTGAGTAAAATTTCATTTATAAAAGTAATATTTATTTGTTAGACAATATACCAGTACGTAATTCCGTATAGAACTTAAAAATTTATTAGGTATATCATAATGCTTGGTGAAATGGCATTATTATGTTTCATAGTACTTTTTCAGACAGTCATCATGAAACTAAAATTCAGAATGTAATTTTAAATATTTGTAAAATCTATCAATGGTACAATTCATACTGAAAAGATACCTGTAAAATTGTGTTATAATACACTTGTATAAAATGTAATACATAATTTCCATATTTCAGTATTTTGGTCCAAATACTAAAAGAAATTTCTCTGATGTTTGATGTTATGGTTTCCTTCTCAGTCTATTCAACAGATTTTCCACTCCATACTCTTTAATTACTCTCATCAATTGCTATAAAGGAATTTAAAACATCAAATATTTTTATTTAGTACAAAAATAATCATATTTAATAACATTTAAACTAGTCATGTCTTTCTTTGACTTTTGAAACGCATTAATACGAGATAACTTTATTGGTTACCTTTTTATTTTATACCTTCAAAAACTTATTTCACACACACTTTTGTATATTGTGGCAAAACGTTGCACAGTCCAGATGATCAGTTCCACCAGCATTCCAAAATATTTGAAACCTGACTAATTAAGGAACTAAATACATACAAAAAATTATAATCCCCTTCCCAAAAAAAAACTCTCTCTCTGTTTTCTAATTAAAAAAATGTGATCAATTAATTCAAATGATTTTACAAGAAGTAATTTCATGAGTTAGTTATGTTCCAGCTTATTTGGAAAATATCAGGTGCTAGGGAAAGACTGTACATTGACATTATTTGTACTACAAAAAGTTTAAACATTAAAACTATTAGTAAAATAACACAGGTGATCATGCTGAGGTTGCAACTACAGATACAGGACCTTGTTGGTTTGTGAAACATAGAGCACATAAGAACTATTTAAATTAGTATGAAAATTCCAAGATTGGCTGAGAATAAGTATGGGGGAATACCGGATATGTTTGGTGGTTAAGTACAGTTATAGATTTGTTGAGAACTGATAGAAAGTTCGGCAGAAGAGGTGTAGATGTTCATCAACAGCATACATGGTCAGATTATGCAAACTGCCAATTGCCAAAGATTAACGAAAAAAGATTTGAATAAGAAAATAAAAGCAAGTAAAAAACAACAAGGCAAAACATTTACAGTAGGAAGGGGCACTAAAGGTCAGAGAGGATATACCCCAGGATAAGGGGTATGCCTCTTGGTTATATTTAAATACAGCATTGTTGCAAAATGTAGAGACAAAATGTAGAGTTACCCAAATGCAGGCAGCATTAAATGGAATTCCCTCTTTACTGTTCCAGGATACAGGATGTGAGTGTGTGAGGAACTTGAAGGCAAATGTGGCACTTAAATTTGATTATGCACGGAAGAAAATAAGATACGCCAAGTCAAAAAATTTTGGATTCACAAGAGATAATAAACGAGTTGAAGGTAGATCCTGAGGAACCAGAAATCAAGCCAAAAGTGCCAAGGATGGAGGAAGCAATTGAGACAAAGCACAAGATCCAGAAAATCTAAGCAGACACAAGAGATTACATGGCCGGCCAGGAAGGTGGAAAAGACAACACAAGCAAAAGTCCAGGCAGTATTATTCTCCCAAAAAAGACAGGAATTTTGGAAGCAAAGAATGGCAACCACGCAAAGAGAAAATCACTCAGCTATAATTGAAAGACAAGTGATAATTCATTTTTTTTTTTCCTCTTTAAGGGAACTTTAGTTGTTATTATATATACACTACAAGCTGCTAGACATGATGTTTTTACCACATATAAGGATTTCTGAATTTTACATGGTGTAGCAATAAATGTTCTTTTGTTTCTGAACATTTAGGTTATCTGCACAGTTTATCTTATGTATTACATAATGATTATGGCCACAAACCTGAGCTTTCTGAGTATTAACAAGAACTGGAATCAATCAAACAATCTTTAAGTGCTTTTGAATGAGGGCTGTGGAGTCTGTAGAGAAAATGACCGACTCTGACTCCTCGAATTTTAAAGACTCCAACTACCTCCAACTAATTTCCGATCAATAGCGATAATTACTTGTTTTTAATTTCTTTTTCAAAGTTTGAAATTTTGTTATTTGTGATTTAAATTCAAGTCCAAATAAAACGTTTTTTTCATAATTTACATTCAAATTATTTTAAAACACAATTTTTGGAATTAAACCTCCTACATATAGGTTCTCTCTTTTTTGCTACTTCTAATAAATTTATATTAGGAGATAATATAACAATATTTCTTTAGTAAATAAATTATTATTATCTTACTTTGCAGTTATTGCGCAAGTATTAGAAAAACTTGTTTTCGAACTAAGTGAATTTTAGATTATTCAACATTATATATGTGTAAACATATATACATGAGTTACAGCTATTTTTTTTTTTAATATATATATAAAGAGAATAATAGATACTATAGAAAAAAAAAACTGATGGTATAGCAAATTATTTATATTAATTAGCATTTATTATGAAATGGGAAAACTGGCATTAGTTATTTCTAAGAAACAGTATAGCTTCAGCAAGACCTTCTTTGTTGGAGGGCCATAGATCTGATTTGATAAACTTCAGAGCTGAGAAGAGTTTTTGAGTAATCACACTAACTTGAGTAGGAGGAAGACTATTACTGTTAGGGGTACTTCTTTTAACTTTTCAGGATAGATTTTTCATAAGTTCTAAAAGAGGTGTCTTGCAAGTGCAATCATATTTCTCTATTTCTACAAAGGCCATGCAGAAATCTTGTTTATATTTTTTCATTTTTATATCTAAAGGCTCCTGGTTCTTTATTCTCATATGCTTTGCCTTAGCCTTTTTCAATATTATCCAAAAATATTTCTCAAAATCTAATTCATCTTTGGAAGAGGATGATAGAGACTCAATTGCAATGTCTGCAATTTGACTGTCCTGATTTGAATTCTCCAATTGTTCTGAGAATAATATTGTGATGTTCGGCTGCGTGCGCCACTAGACCACGTCACGCTGTGTTTGTAAAAACTGCTAGCGCGGCAGTGAACTCGCCCACTTCACCTTTAGCTCAAGCATAGGTTGAATGAATTTTAGTTTAGTAGTTTTCTGTTATGTTATGATAGTTGTGTTTAAAAATATGGTGTGTGAAAATAAAGTTATGTTTAACAAAACGGAGTCAAGTCTTTTAACCCTTTGCGGCTCAGTGTTCCACTACATGGAACACCCAAATTGAATCGCTTCTGAAACCTTTAAATTCAACCGTAAATAGATAAAAATGCCTTTATAATATACTTCGAACTTTTCTTTTGAAACAGTAGATAGCAGCATATCACAAAGACACACAGAATTTTAATTTATTATGTGTTATTAAAATCCACTTTTTTTCAAGTAATTCTCTCTATTTTTTTAATGATATAAAAATTTTATTTGAGAAAAATTAGGCATAATTTTGCTGGCTGTACTCCAAATTATTGTTCTATATTTTTTTTAATCTTTCATACAAAAATCATACGCATACGCAGAATCATTGAATAAAACCAGGTGTTCCATTAGCGGGAACACTGCGCCTTTAGCAATCTCATGCTGTTACGAATCAGAACATCTGTGCTCTTAGGAGAGAACATCCGTTGTTTTACGTTTTCTGTTTCCGTTGTTTTTGGGGGGAAATGAATTCAAACAAAGCAGCATTGAGGGGTGAGGTGTGTTTTTGTGTTATGAAAGCATTAATATTGGCATCTCGAAATTTTTGGGGAGTAGTTTTTAGGCGGGAATTTTATTAGTAGCTTGACTCATCTTTACTTAGACCTACGCACGAAATTTTTGCTGTCGCATTTTTAGTCTCATTCCATTTATTTTCAATAATTGTGTAGATATTTTTCGTGTATCTATATATTATAAGCTTATTTTTCTTTTTGTTAATATTAATCGTAGTTAATTTTTTAATTAGTTAGTTTGTGCATTTTCCATCAAAATGGCGCGGAGAGGTCTAATTCTTTCACGAAGCGCTAAGAAATAGGAAAATTTATAAACATTTTTGTATATAGGACTTGTGTATATAGATATTTATCTCATTTATCCGTATATATTCAAGAATATTGTGTATATCCAGGAAACCATGTATACAGCCATAATACAGAGTTTTTTCATTCTTATGCAAACGCTTCTACTCATTTTCGTGCTTCACTGCAATGCTAGCTTAGTCGCACTTTTAAAAGCTCTGGCGGCGCAGTGTTCCACCTCATGGAACACCCACAGAATTAAAACGGTAAGTGCAATTTTTACAAAATTTTACCTGTATACTCCTTTAGGACTAAATAGACTGCATACAACTTTTTTTGTTGAAATTCCAACGTTAACGTATAGTGCGCCGCAAAGGGTTAAGGATATATACCAAGCCATAGCACCATAAAATGGTGACCCGGCTACTCGCATAAAGCTGCGTTCCGGTTGTTTGTTTAGGAGCTTGGTTCCAGGACTTTTGTGTTTTTCCCTTTAGCTACTGTCATGGAGGAGTCTGCTGCCATCAAGATACCAATTTACAATCCTATTGACCTGGCATTGTGGTTTGCTATGTATGAATCAACTTTTGCTTTAGCCGCACACCAGCCTGTTATGCAGCCGAAGAATAAATTCAACTACTACGCTGCTCAATTGCCGCTGGAAATTGCTTTGTTGGTTCGAGATATCGAATATACTCCAGGAATGCACAAATTCTTCATACGATGACCTCAATGTTGCTATTATGGAATGAGACTGCTAAGCATAATACTATGCATTTCATTGAAACTATTGGTCCTCCTGTTTCATGTAAGCCCAGGAGACTAGTTCCAGATAGATTAAAAATTGCTAAGCATGAAATTCAGAAAATGATCAATTTAGGTCACATGTGACCCTCCAAAAGTAATTACTCCTTTCCTCTTCACATGGTGTCAAAGAAAGGCACAAACGAATGGAGACCTGTGGGAGATTTTTGGAGGTTAAATGCTCAGACAGTGAAGGATAAGTATCCTATTCCTAACATTTGTGATTTTGCAACAGAGATGCATGGAACAAAGGAACTTTCTCGATTAGAATTGGTTAAAGCCTATCATCAAATACCGATTAATCCCTCTGATATCCATAAAACGGCTACTGCCACTCCTTTGACTTTTTGAAAGCACAAGAATGCAGTTTGGGCTATGCAATGCAGCTGCAACCTTTCAACGCTTTATTGATGAAGTAACTCGCGAGCTGCCAGGAGTATTTGCTTTTGTCGACGATATATTGATTGCGTCAAAAGACGAAACTGAGCTTCTGATACACTTGAAAGCTCTTCTTGAAAGATTAAGTAATTACAGGCTAAGAATTAATGTATCTAAATGTACTTTTGGTTTAACATCATCAGTTTTTGGGTTTTCAAGTATCAGAACAAATTTTAAACCTTTATCCGACAGGATAGAAGCCATTCAAAAATTTCCTAAACCAACTTACGTTTTGTCCCAAGAGCTTCACATGTTTTAGCTCCCTTGAATAAGTTATTGGAAGGCCGCATTAATAAAAGGAAAACTTCACAACCAAGCAAAACAAAAGAATACCCTCTCGAATGGACTAAAAGCCGAAAAGCATTTCCACCAAAAAGACATCGCGAGGCAACTCGTCTCAGACTCCACTCCTGGTGCTACCCTTGAACTTTGCACTGATGCATCGATTTGTTTTTGGTAGCTCATTATGCAATTGCATATTCAGTTTGGAAACCACCATTACTTTTCTACCGTTAAACTCATCAAAATTCAACAAGTCCTATATTGAGACTATGGCTATTTATTTGTCTATTAGAAGGTTTCGGCACATGCTTGAAGGCAGGGCCTTTACAATCTACACTGACCAAAAGCCTTTAATATATGCTTTTAAACAGAAGCCTGAAAAGTGTTCTCCACAACAACTTCATCATCTTGATTTTATAGGCCAATTTTCCACTGACATACGATACATCAAAGGTCATGAAAATATCATTGCTGATGCCTTATCTAGGGTAGAAATTGAAAATCGGGACGCATGTGACCTAAATTGATCATTTTCTTATCCGAAGCCCAAATGCATGACTTTGAAATTCAAAATTCTTTATCTCAATCTTCACCTGTTTTTAAACTAAAAAAACATTATTTTCCTTCAGAAGATGTTACTCTTTACTGTAATATGGACACAGGTATACACGCCCGTTCATATCTGAATCTTTTCACTAAATTTTTTCAGCAGATTCACGGTCTTCTTTCTCATGCTGATATTTCAACTTACACAAAACTAATTACTAAGTGCTATTTTTTGGTCTAATATGAAGAAATTTATTAAAACTACAGTTCAATCATGTCTGCAGTGCCAATGTTCTAAAATTCATAGGCATACTAAATCACCGTTGGGTACCTTTTCCTTGCCTGATACAAGATTTGCACATCCCTATTGATTTCTAGTCCCTCTTCCACGTCGGAAGTTAACTGCTATTGCATGACATTATTAAAGGTTTACCTATGGCTGGAAGTTATAACCTACTGCACTGTCAGCTCAGACACTTGTAAGTGTTGGTGCCATCTTATGATTTGGCTGCTATTATATAATACTGATCCAGGCCGAAATTTTGAATATCGCTATTTAGGATTTAATGAAGATTTTGAGTACTCATCACATTAGAACTACTGCTTATCATCCTCAGTCCAATGGATTGATTGAGAGATTTCATAGGCAACTTAAAAGTTCAATAATGGCTCATAAAAACTCTAAATGGACTGAAATGCTGGCTATAGTTTTGTTGGGTATCAGATTTGCCATTAAAAAAGATATAAATGCTACTTCTGCTGAACTTGTCTATGGTACCACACTTAGATTAACTTCAGATATGCTGAATGCTACTAATTTCATATCTCCTTCTGAATCTTATGTGTCACAGCTTCGATCAGTCATGCATTTACTTAGACCTATTCCAACCTCTAGACATGCTCAACCATCAAAACCTGTTCCCATGTAGTTCTACATATCGATTCTGTTAAACCGCCTCTAACTCCACCTTACACTGATCCTCATCACGTGGTTAAACGAATGGACAAAAATTTTATTATTGAGGTAATTGAAACCAGCATATATGTTGTCAGAATATACAGATTCACCTGTAATTCCTCAGTTTCCACAGGAAGTCTGTGGAGACTCAATTGTTCCAAAACAAATAGTTACCCACAGTGGACATCGTGTTCATTTTCCTGAAAAACTAATCACTGTAATATGATTGTAGTTTTCTATTGTGGTTTGCTGCAAAAGTCATAGCATATAACTACTTGATTAACTTTTTTACATACATATTGGAAGTTATATAAAAACTTATTAACTTTTCATTATTTCTGTTTAACTAAGTTATGCATTGTATAGGTATGTATTTCAATCAGAATTTCAGTGTATTATTACTATTCATATATTTTGTATTTCTTTTTTGCGGTGAAAATAAAGTTATGTTTAACGAAAACGGAGTCATGTCTTTGACAGATATACACCAAGCCATAACCACCATGCACCATAATATCATTCTTAATGAAAGTTCATGCATGGCTTTCTTTGCCTTTTTAATTTGTTCCTTATCCATTAAACTTCGGTGCTTAAGATCTACATATTTAACCAGCAAGACTCATTGTCTAGCAAAATTTTCCTTTTCATCATTGAAGAAATGATTCCTTCTGCAATATACCCTCCATTTCAGAAAGAAAACACACCCCATTTTTCATTCCGCCTCCTGTCAATTCTTCAGATTGCAGATTTTTGGGCTATATGGTGTAAAAGAAGATTTCCATCTGCAAAATCATTCCACAGTCTTTCTGTTCCTGAAACATTAGGGCTACCTACATCTTCTTAAAAAGGTCTTAATTCTAACAACCTCTTTATCATCAAATATGTACTTCCTTATAGCACTTCTTGATCAATAATTGCTCCTTTTCCTGCTCACTTCCTAAGATTAACATCAATTTTGGGAGTTCTTGCTGCTATTGCTGCTTACCTAAATTTACCAGTGAGATTTGTAACTAAATGAATCAGTTTGACTCTTACACAACCAATCCACCCCACATGGCCCAACACTGAAGCAACCAGAACCACCCGAAAACGGCCGAGATCGTAATCTTCTTTTCTTACCTCTCCCTAAGGTATGCAGTAGCAGGTGCAGTATTCCCAGATGCATTGTATCAGTTACTGCAGACAGCTTGTCCTAAGAGTTTTCTTATGTTTTGGTTGCTCGTGACATTTCGTTGTTGATTCTTTGGTGGTACAGCGTGCTTTTAAGCTTTAAATAGCAATAAAAGTGCAGTTTAAAAATTTAAGGATTATATTTATTTTTAATCAATTTATCAAATCCTATAAAAATAACAGAAATAAACAAAATCTCAGTTGCGATCATAACAAAGCTTTAAAAAGGCTTGTTGGTCTGACCTTCAGAATAGTTTTATAAAGAATGGGGTCAAAGCTAAAGGCTAAAGGAAAGGTCAAAGCTATAGGTCAAGGCTAAAGGAATCTTTGTTAGAAAGTGGAAGGGATGTCATTCGAAATCTTCATACCTATTTTCCGTGTTAATGGACGGGGAGGAGAAGAAATTGCTGAGAAACTGGAAAAGTATTTCAGGCAGTTTGGTATTTTGAGGATACAGGCTAGCGAAGGGTCTGGATTTCAAAGAGTTAATCACTAATGACAAATATCACATCCATCCTCCTCCTCCCTTATGTTTATTTATTAATATGTCAATAAAATAGAAAATAAATATTTATTAATGTATACAGTCCATAAATAAAAATAACTCAGCTTGTCATTAAATTTTTTCAATTCATTTTAATTTCATTTCAAATTTAACCGTTTGACTTCATTTGTCTCGAAAACCGCGACGCAGTTAGTTATTTTAGAATGCACTCGTGTTACAAAGTACGCATAAGGTCAGACTACGTACGTTCACACCCACGGAGCAACGAAGACACACTGAAACTCGAATCGCGGTTTTCGAGACAAATGAATATAGCACTTTTGCACCACGTAGCAGTCAAACGGTTAAAATGCCCAACAAAAATTGGAGTCGGAGTCGACCTATTTTTAGATACTCCATCTCAGACTCCTTTTACTCCAAAATTTGCCCGACTTCGATTCCGACTCCCTGACTCTGACTCCACAGCCCTGTTTTGAATACAAAATTAAAATGGTAGCAACATATAATATTAATATCACTTATTCTGGAAATTTGAAACATTTCATATAAATTTTAAATTAACAAAAACAGGAAGCAAAGAAAATTTAAACCACAAACTTCATATAATATAATTAAGCAAATTTAATAATTTAGAACAAGAGACAAAATTAGGTTTAAAATGATAAATGAGCAACTTTATCTGGCATCACACTATATTAAATAAAATTATATAAAACCAATTACTTACATCCATTTTTGCCTGTTCATCAAGCTAGAAAATAACAATTAATAATTATTAATAAGTCAATGAATTAATGAACTAAAAACGAAACACATAAATCACAATCAAAGTATCAGGTTTTAAAGAAAAAAATAGTTTTAAGAATTAGAATATAAAGAAATTCCTTTATTCAAGAAACAATTTTGTAAATGATTATAAGAACACAGTATAACAACATACCATTAGAGTTACTTAGATAATTTTCTCCTTCAGATGTTTATAAAATATATATACATTGAGGAAAAATGAAATACCAGCATCAAGAAGTGTTAAATGAACAAAATTTGGGTGTCGTGTTTGTACATCTGAGAGATGACATCTCTTCAGATTTTGAGATAGATGAATAAATATGACGCTATACTTCACGACAAGCTAACCTGAGAACACATACAAGGCTAAAACGACCTTTTCACGGCTTTCCCCCCGTTCTTCAAGTTATCCATATGTACCAAACTGCCGGTGGAAATTCAATTCCCCCAATTCGCTACACATTTGGCGACTTCTTGCCAAATCCAGCGTATTTTTAAGTAACAATCTTTTTATGCGAAGAAGCTGCAGTTGAAATTGTTAGTTCATCGTAGTGTAAAATGTAGGGCATGTTATTTCTCTTAATTTATATGAAATTTTTCACTATAATCTTAATATGATGCATACGGATTTGATGACATTTAAAACTCGAATCATTACTTAAAACTTGAAACAGAAGAGCTAACAATGTATTCCTTGTAGTTTGGGTTAAATTTTTTCCCCAAGACCATTCGCTTAGTTAAAAGTAAAATATATAAATTTAGAAAATCTGGTAGAAGTTATTTTCTCTTAATTTTTAATAGTTTACGCAGTTTGTTGCTTCCAAAACAGTGAACCAGAGAAAAATGCTGATTTTTATTTTCGATTATTTAAAAACTCTAACTATATTTTGTAGCAGACATCAATAAAAATTATATCTTGATTGTCTCCTAAGACACATACTCTTCCAGTCACGCCCAGACAATCATTCTCCTACAGTACGTTATTTTTTTTTTTTTTTTTTTTTTTTTTTTTTTTTTTTATTACTGTTTAAAATTAAAAATAAAATAAGTAAAATTACTGGAGACTGAGATCTTCGGATTATAGTCTAGCAACTAAAGAGTTTACCATTAAAAATTTCAAGATATTAGAAAAATTTTAAAAACTTTAAAATTGTAAACCAAACAAAAATTAAAATGTAAATTATCTTATACCAATTAGTTTGTACCAATCAGTTAAAAATATAACATTAAGAAATGTCTTTTGTTAGTTATAACAAGCCGCAAATGTTCACATGAACTAAAAAATTATGAAGAAATTAAACTGTAATGTAACTCTGTAAACTCTAAACTCTGCATTGGAGTATCTCAGTGTATTATATAGAAAAAGCCCTTTACCCTTATAAAGTCTCCACAAAGATAGCTCATCCTTTAGACAGAAATCTTTGTTCCTTCTACCATAGTAAACTTAATTGATCAGTGCTTCCGTATTGGTTAGGTTAGGTGATTTGAATATGGCAAAGCACGCAAGAGCTATCTGACGAAGGGGTGAGATACATTCATGGAGGAATTTCTAAAGGAAACAGGCTGGTATTCATATTATACATGAGAAAAAACACAAAAACTGACCATGAATCCAGCCCGTTCACTTGGGTTCAAACAATGTCAAACTACCAGTATTCAGTGATCTTAAACATTCGGCTACTGGTGGCTGCTACTACACTTTCATATTATATTTTCTAATGGATGTTAGCTTGTACAGTCAAAAGTCGTTAATCCGGACTCGTCGGGACTTCGGCGATTCCGGATTATCGATTTTTCCGGATTATAGATCATCAGTTTAAATCGTAAGATGGCATGCAGAAATTACAAAATTAAAAATATGAAACCGTAATTTATGAAATAAAGAACAATTATGATCTAAAGGGTATCAAAATTTACAAAAAGAAAAAGCTTAATATTTATTTGTTTACTTTATTAAACATTTCCTTCAATGTAAGTTGCTTCGTTTCATGTGATAATACTTTCTCTTTAATTCTATTAAACAGACATAATTTCTTGTTTAGTTACAAAGTTCCGCTGTTCAAGTCCTATAATTGCTGTGTTGAGAATACCGACTAATTTGTCAATCGAAATGTTTTCGTTTTCAATAACCTCTGGGTCACTTTCTTCACTATCGGAAGCGAATTTATAATGACGAGGAACTTGATTTAAATCATATCAAAGACGGAGTATATCGAGATGAAAATACTACACTTAGTACGGAATTATAAACCAAATAAAATAAAAACATCTGCCCTGAAGATAAGGATAGTGCTGACAGATCAACTTCCAATCCGCAGCGTGAAATTGATAAACAGATTTCGGATTTCAAAACATACTTTCGCTTTGTAGATACAAATTACATATTAGTAAATATATATCGGAAATTCTATTTGACATAATCTTTCTAATCTATCATAATCTAATAATGACGTTTCTGCCCCCCCCCTCTGCCGCAGAGCAGCGTGAAATTGATAAACAGATTTCGGATTTCAAAACATACTTTCGCTTTGTAGTAAATATATATCGGAAATTCTGTTTGACATAATCGAAAGTTCAAGCTTACTTTTATAAAATTGCTCTAACAGTCTGCAAAAAATAATAAGCCGGATCCAATTCGAAGATTAAGGAACAACGCAATCAGCAACATTAACTGAATTAGATAACTTTAGCTTAGCGTATAACTCCGTTACACATTAAACGCGCATGCGCACAAACATATTCGCAGCCGTAAGGGTCTTACGCGCTCTCGTAAACGCCTGTGCGCATGCGTGAACTCGACGCATGCGCAGAAAATTTGCAGCTTTGAGGTCCGGATTATAGATCATTCCGGATTATGGGTGTCCGAATTAACGACTTTTGACTGTATTTATAATGTTATTAATACCGCTAAGATTACTGTTTGAAGAATCTGAGCTATCCGACTCATCAATATTCAATTGCACACACTCAACAGTGTTCTCCACCAGACAATCTAATTTCCACATTTTCTCTTCCTCTTCTATTACATGCCTCTATTACAGCCCACTGCATAGAAGTCACCAAATCAATTCCTTTCTCAAGCAATTTACAGACTTCGTTCTTTTAAAAAGTTCTGTTTTCGGATGCTACATACCCTTTCACACTACTCCATACGAGTTCAATTGGGTTCAGTTCGCAATGATATGGTGGTAAATGCAAAACAGTATGTCCGGCTTCAGCAGCTACAGCATCTATACGATGGAATTCAAATTATTTTCGACACTTAGAAACAAAAACTGAAAGCTCTGCTTTTAACATATTAGCTTCCCAAGGAATATTTTTTTCTGTCAACCAGAGCTAAATGCCTGCTTTCCTTGTACTTGAAGAAGGAATACTTTCAGAGAAAACGCTGTGATAAGATGCATTATCCAACACAATTACACTGTTCGGTTGCAAGTTAGGCAGTAATTTGTTTTTCAAACCACTTTTCGTAATATTCTGAATTCATTTTACCATGGTAATCTCCTTTCTTTTCCTTAGCTTTGAATATATCACATGCTTCAGGAATAAATCCGCTTTCATTACCAGCATGAACAACTATACACTGTGAGCCTTTTCCTGAGGGAGCAATTAAACCTGTTGAAAGACCACAAGAAAAGGCTTTCTTAGCACTTTTTATAGTTGTATCCTCCCTTGCCTCCAGCATTGAATATCATCACGTTCAATCAAAACTGACTGGCATTTTCATTTTCTGTAAGCAAATCCAAAATCATTCATAATTTGTCCTACTGTGCGATGGACATATTTGGCAAATCAGCTTCATCATTTATAACTTCAGCCACTTTATGCACAGTGAGAATTTTATTCCGTAAAAAGAAACCATGAACTTTCCTTCGTATTGTTGCTAAAAGTTAACTCATCATATCATTTGATTCAGGTTTGCATACCAACTTTCAGAGGTCGTTTCTTACCTGGAGTGGAAAATCTTCCATTTTCTTTTAAGTCGGATTTCATGCGATTCATGCTTGTTACAGAAACGCCAGCATCTATATGACATAATGAATGTGCATTTGCATATTTGCATTCAAACATGGCGGTGATTGCAGCAGTTACTAATGGAGCAAAATTTCACATTTGAAATAGCTCTTCTTGTGTATACTTTAGCCTCTGACCTTATAAAACATTAATCAAAATAAATATGTTTATATAGACAAATGCTTTGCCTACATTTCATTCCTTTACATCGGTTTCATCTTTGCGTTGGGATTTAATTTTCCAACAGTGTGTACACAGTCAAAAGTTGTTAATCCGGACTCATCGGGACTTCGGCGATTCCTGATTATCGATTTTTCAGGATTATAGATCATCAGTTTAAATATGGTAAGATGGCATGCAGAAATTATAAAATTAAAAATATGAAACCGTAATTTATGAAATAAAGAACAATTATGGTCTAAAGGGCATCAAAATTTACAACAAAAAAAAAAACTTAATATTTATTTGTTTATTTTATTAAACATTTCTTTCAATGTAAGTTGTTTAAGTTGCTTCATTTCATGTGATAATACTTTCTCTTTAATTCTATTAAACAGACATAATTTCTTGTTTAGTTACAAAGTTCCGCTGTTCAAGTCCTATAATTGCTGTATCGAGAATACCGACTAATTTGTCAATCGAAATTTTTTCGTTTTCAATAACCTCTGTGTCACTGTTTTCACTATCGGAAGCGAATTATAATGACGAGGAACTTGATTTAAATCTTATCAAAGACGGAGTACATCGAGATGAAATACTACATTTAGTAAGGAATTATAAGCCAAATAAAATAAAAACATCTGCCCTGAAGATAAGGATAGTGCTGACAGATCAACTACCAATTCATTGTGTGCCGCGTCGTTCCCTCCCCCTCCCCCTGCAGCAGAGCGTGAAATTGATAAACATATTTCGGAATGATTAGATAATCAAAGGATATGCCTTTTATCC